TTGGCCAGCCAGCAGGAGTTTATCAGATGATTTTCATCTCATTAAACGTTCACTTCACGCACAGTACCTGAAAACTATTGTTGCATATTTGCTTGTAATAATGACTGTATTTCAGGGAAGGATGTGTTGCAAAAAACTCATTTTACTTAAGTGTTCGATAATGGAGACCTTATGGGAAAACAGATGGCTGGACCTAAAATTATCCTGATAGCTGCAGCATGACGATTATCCATGAGCTAAACTTAGGAAAGGGATAAATGATGTCTCATTGTCTTTATCTGGATGAGGACATCTCCATCTTTTATATCAGAGATCCTTTCAGGATTGTGCTATCTGGCCAGTAGCCAGTCCCTCACATGGCTCATGACTGAAGGCTCAGCGCTGAGGTCAAAGAAGAGACTTATGGGTGAGCTAATCAGCTCAGGATTTTATAGGCATAATCACAGTTGGCTGCTAACACTTAGCGGATCACAGGCAAATGAAGAGGCAGATTGGACTCCGTGTGTGAGAGCGTGGGTGTATGTGTGTGCATCTATAGATGTAGCAACATGTATACACTATTTCTTTGTATTAAAAAAAGTGACACGTGTATCCATGTGTGCATGTTGTGGCAGACTCTCCTGATAAAGTGAAGACAGTCAGTTCTGTGTCCATCCATCTGTCTCAGCATGAGCCAGAAGAAACCGGATCCGTATATTCCCCTCACACCTCGGCTAAATGGGGACCTCTTAATTACCCTCCTTTGCTATGCAAGACGGCGATGATAAACCACTTTAAGTATATGATGACAGAAAGATTTATTTTCCACCGATGCCATCAGGATGATAACATCTGTTGTTATATTAAGGAGCAAGATTTGGTTCAGCTGGTCTGTTTCTAATTTTAGCCCATTATAAATCACTTATAATATATCATGCAAATGACATCAAGAGTCTATAAATACATAAATTTTCTAGCACGTCTCCTTTACCCTGATGGTATGGATACAAATGACAACCTGCAGAAACTCTGTAGTCATTTGTAAACTTAAGATGACCACTTAAGCCATTGGATATGCAGTTATCTGGACTATTTGAAGAAATCCACACATTCCCTACAATGCTTTTCCCCTTTGTATCCATTACTTTAAATAGCATATTGCAAATAAATGATTATCTTTTAAATTATTTATAGGTTATGTTGGAATTGCTCTGCAATTATGGTCTAGGAGATCAGATCAGTGCAAAGCCAGGAAACCATTGCTAAAACAAGATGATGATGCTGTCTGACTTGCAGTAACACGATGACCTGCATTTGATGCTGTATTTACATCTGAAGCAACTGATGACAACAGTGATTTGAATGATAATATGACTGGGGTTTACCTGTTTTTTCCACACAGACGTTTCTAGGTTAAATGGAAGGGGGAGTCAAGAGTTCTCTGTCCCCACACCCCTCCCAATTTCATGGGGGAAAACGTGTGAAAAGGGGTCACTGGGATCATCACGATTAGCCTGTTTCACTGAGTATCAGTCTCATGACACTAGTGAGCTCATCAGTTAGTTCTGCACAATCTCAAAACTACACCCAATGATTTTCTGTAAATCAGCAAACTGAAAGAAACTGAATAGTGGTTATGCTGCACCATTTCCCAACTATCACCTCAAGTTGCTTTACTCCCTCCAAAAAATCAAAAAACATAAATATAAATATAATGCAATGATTCACAATAGAACACAGAAAACATATTAACTATTCAACCTGAAACATTTGACTATGTCATGAAAAATATTAGCTCATTTTGAATTTGATGGCAGCAACATGTTTCAAGAAAGTTAAGCTGGGGCAACAAAAGGCTATAAAAGCAAGTGGTACTAAAACAAAACAGCTGAAGGAACATTTTGCAGCTAATTAGGTTCATTTGAAACAGCTCAGAAACATGACTGGGTATCAAAAAAGAGCATCTTAGAGAGGCGGAGATTCTTGACAAAGGTCACTGAAGACTGTGAACAAAATTGTAACGACTTTGAATATCTCATTATCTAAAGTACATAATACGATGCCGTGCCATCCACATGTGCAGATTGGAACTCCGTCATGCAAAGAAGAAGCCACATGTGAGCATGATTCAGAAACTTCTGTGGGCCAAAGCTAGTTTAGAATCGACTGAGTTAAAGAGGAAAATTGTTCTGTGGTCAGATAATTTGAAATTGGACATTTTTTGGAAAACATGGATGCCACATCCTCCAGAGGACCATTTGGCTCGTTTTAAGCATTCAATTCAAAGACCTTCATCTCCAATGAAAAGGGGGTGCATTATTGTCTATGGAGGATGCAGCTTACACATCTGGAAAGGCACCATCAATGCTGAAAGGTGTGCGCAAGTATTAGAGCAACATATATTCCCTTCCAGCGACATCTTGTTGAGGGAAGACCTTGTATATTTCAGAAAGACAATATTAAACAGCACACTGTGTCTATCCCTGTATTTCAACAGCACTGCTTAGTAGAAGAGTCTGTGCTGAACTAACCTGCCTGCCAGGAAAGTTGAGCATTACATTACATTTTCTCAGTGTAAAGATTTGTTATCTTCCTATCTTTTGTTGTGAATAGAATATGAGTTTAAGAGATTTTATTGACACTTTCATATAGCATTTTAACTTTAAAAAAAATTGGGATTGTATATTGTAAGGTTAAGGCCATACCATATTTAAGAGAAAACCCCAAAAATCGCACAGTCCCCTATGAGGAGAGCGCTGGACAACAGTGAGAAGAAAGAACTCACTTTTAACAGGAAGAACCCTCTGACACACATTATAAGAGAGAGGAGGTACATCTTAATGTGATGCAGTAGTAGTTTATAAACACATGGGAAGTGAAAATATGTGAGTGCAGAAGTAGAGAGAGTGTATGTCTCCTGAATCCAGTCTGGAGGTCTGATATCTCAGAGCTCTGCCTCACGTTCTACTACATCATTCTACATCAGGACGCCCATGGACAAACCTAAAAAGCTAATTATAAAAGTGTTCATCAGAAGTAGTATTTAGCCTGTTTGCAATCTTAGTGGATGCAGAACTTAAGCCTTCTCCAACTGTTTCTAACAAATAAAATGCTTCTCAAAGTGCAACCTGAGGGATACGAGAATGTATGAGGCCAATGTTTTGGCATTGCATCCATAAGTTACATCTTGAGGGAAAGTACAGGAGTGAAGGAAATCTTGAATGGCAAGCCACGTGAAAGCTAAAGTAGCATTTCCTTTAATGCCAAAGTATTTGACCTAATGACTACACAAAGGCCTAACTGTCAGAAAACTGAGAGTCAAAGGGATCTATGATACACAATTTCATTTTGCCAGCATTTATCTCCTGAAACTTTAAAGACAGAATAAAGATTCACTTGACTATCTCCACAAATCTTCACAAACAAGTCGGATATTTGATCAATTTCATTAATTTATGGATTTTTATCTTCCGGAGCTGACTTTGCTTTTGATGTTGTTATTTGCAGGCGTACAGCATGCTGGCCTGCAGGTCAAAGGTAAACCGAGGCCAGGCTCCCCCTCAGTTAATGTGTGCCATCAGCACACGTGCTCTACTCTGTCACCATTAGACTGCAATTTGATTATCTGGAGTGAGTTTAAAAGACATCATTTAAACAATGACTACATTTACTTAGCTGATAACTTAGCACTTCCCACAGGTACACGAGAGCAACTGCTATTTGATAGTCTTCCCAGGAAGAACAGGTCAGGAGTTTGTTGTCACAACCTCTGACAAAAAAACAGTTGCAACATCAAGATGCCTAATTCTAGTTTTCAGAAGTAACTCAGAAAAATACTTCTGATACCTACATGTTTGTTTTCCTGCTGAGTGGGAATAACACACTCAGAATATGACCTCTGTAATGACATAAAGTCAGTGAAAGCAGGGAGTATCTCACTGATTTCCCAACACTGGACAGAATGTGTTGTACGTGATCGTGTGCACACTTTTGTCAAAAAGCAGAAATCTAAGAGGTTTTTAAGCAGCTGGTTCGTTTGAACTAGAAAAACAACTTACTACAGCAAGAAGACTGTGTAAGGCACGTAGAAGTAGACAGAATGTCTACTTCTTACATGCGGCTGTACAAAAGGTGGAACCTGTAAAAGAAAACCCATAAAATCCAATTCAATAAAACTGACACAGCTGACTATATCATGGAAAATGCTTTGTAAATCCATTCTCTTTGTGGGATCTGAGAGGTGGTATTGCTCAGCCGAGCCATGATAATTCAAGGAGAGCTCCAGGTCTGGTGGGTCTGGTACTAATATGATTAGCACATATCTGGGGGATTTAAAACTGGGATTTCACAATTTGAGTGTTTCCTTAAAAGATGGTCTTTTAAACTTTCAGTCTGCCTTTTATATCCCAGATCAGAAATCAGCGAGTCAGTGAACAATACCAGGAAAATGTAAAGGCCAGAAATCAGTAATGTCCTCTATCAAAATATCATACTTCAAAAGATCAAAAATGTAATTTCACTTTATTAGAATTAGATTCTGTCAAGGACAAGTCATCCATTAATTCAGTTAGATTTTAAACAGTAGTTTTACTTCCTCCTCGGTTCTCAACATCAAGGCTGTAGCTACTGCGGACACTGAGGTCATGTCATCTGCATTTGTGTCTGTGTTGGGCTTTAAGAAAGAAAAAAACGAAACGTCTGTGGAAGGTACCAGAAAATATGTAGATATACCTGTGCCTGGTCAAGATTTGTTTTTGTTGGATTAGGATATGGGGCAGTCCTAATCAGCATGATTTTTTTCTTTTTCACTGCAACAAAATGATCCCCAGGACCTGCTAAAATTCTTATCAGGAACCACACACTGGATGTTTGATAAAAAGCTCCCTCTTGTACTACTGGAAACAAAATAATAAACTTACGTATCAATCTATGTTTTAGTAGACGCCTAGCCCCGCCCACTTTACACAAGCCCATCCAATTAGCTCATCCCCTCCTCAGAGGAGTGATCTGTATTTCCGAAACTCCGGGCTGCTTGTTCATTGTACTGAGTCAGCGGCCATACGCAAATGGATCCAGAGGAGGGCTGTGCTGTGTAGGCTGCACTCTACATAAGCTCTCAACCTGCGGGACTGCGCGCACATACTGCCGACTGGAGATCGCAGGTAGCATCTGGGGGCTTGACTTACACATCAGAGGCTCTGATTTGTGCTTATTTTCACAAGGACAAGCATAAATCCAGGATTGTCTGACGAGATCTTTCATACATCCTCCGTTCCTGATCTGCCCATCGGGTGCATAGAGCAGTACAATGCGGCGGCTGTGCTGTTGACTAATTGGACACCCCCTCCACCTTTTTTTTCTTCTTTTATTTTGCTTTTTTTGCCGGTTCTTACTCAAGGAGGCACATTTCCAAATCAATGATGAAGCTCAAACCAAACCAGACCAGGACATACGATGGCGACGGTTTCAAGAAGAGAGCGGCATGTCTGTGTTTCAAGAATGAACGCGAAGAAGAGGTAAGAAAGGTTATCCCAGTGTGACGCTGTTTTCCTGCATCTTATCAACAATATGCAGCGTTTGTGTGCTGTGACTTTGTGGCCTAATCAATCTGCATCTAGCAGCCATTCAAAGTGCACAGGGATGCTCTTTTTCAAAACGCACAACGATCCGTAATAAGACACACGGGCTTTGATTTATGGTGTTGCCTACTAGGTGTAGTTACGTGTTTGCTGGCAAAGCCACTGTCTTTTTGGTTTGTGTTTGCGTGCTGCTGATGTGCCTTGGGCCATCCAGTTTAGGCTAGTTTGAGGAGCACGTAGAGAAAAGGGGGGAAAAGCGGTGCTGTCGAGCCACCTTCACCTAGCATCATACGACTAATAGTACGTTTGTTTCAAAATAAAACACACGGGCAGCAGCGCAATGTGAAACTGCCCTCTCAAGTAAGGCGGGGCTCTTATTTCGAAAGTAACTTCCTGTTAGCTTTTCGCTAGCTTGAAGCAACGAGCAGAAGGGGGGCGAGGCGCTCACTTGTACGTTTCCTTTAGTACAGGGTTTAACAGTGGCGTGGGCTGAGCGGGGGGTAACAATATATGCCACAGGTCTACTGCTAAATATATTTATCAGATGTAAGGTCATTTTAATATGACAATAATGTAAACGTCCATGACCGAGCAGCTTCATTCACGGTTATGCTGCATCCCGCCGGCCTTGGGCGGGCTGCTGCGTAGCAATACTGTTGATTAGGATTTAAAGGGACCATCACATGTAAATAATGAATGGATGTGACAGGCTCTGATGGGCAGTGCTTTAGACCCACCTCAAAGGAGATTTAAGGTAACCTAAAGCAGGGCTTTAGCGAGACGTCCGCCAGATTTTAAACTACCATAGTTTTCTATTTTATTTTTTTATTTTGTGGGGTGACTGTTTCCTCCCCCTTTTTTGCAATATTTTTTTGTAACTTCAACCCCCCCCTAATTATCAAAAGCTGTAAAAATGGACCTTATATAATGTCTCTGTCTGCTAACTGGTCTGGTTAACTGGTTTACGTGCATGAATGTTTCACCAGTAAGTGACAAAAGTCAAGGCTGTCCCCTGCATATTCTGGCTTGACTATATTTAGCCGTTTTTTGGCCTGGCATAAACAAAGTGTTACACAATGTGCAGTAAAGACATCACTGTCTGCTGTCACTAGACAGCCACTAAGAGCTCTGCCTAGGCTCTCCAGTGTTTGGCTGTTAAACACACCATATCAGGAATTTTACAAGCATGCAAACAGTATATCTGCTTGTTTGCACATGTGGACGTGGTATGCTGTTGTTATGTAAGATTTTTTTTTTTTTTTAATGCGTAGCCATAAAAGAAATAGAGATACTGTGCAGAGATGCAGTTTTGCTTTCTTTAGAATTGTTTTGGTTTGGCCATTTTTACTTGCATTAGTGTACTGTAATATTGTGACAACAGAAGGATGTAGGTGACTACTACCCTCAGGACTTTAAAAAGCATGTCTGGGTTTGCAACCACAAACATGACTCAGCTTTAAGTAAGAGAACTGATGTGATGCTCTTACTGTAACTGGGTTGGCACTAATGGTGATTTTTGAAGACGATTCACATGTAGTGTAAGCTTTGTAGTAACACATATACACTACATATAGACATGTAGACATTGGATACCTAACTCTGGTGGAACAGGAGCTCTAGATCTGCTCAGCTCTTTTTGTTTTGGAAGGGAAAGGAGAAAGCAGGGCCCATAAGGCCAGAGACTCTGTGATAGCAATAGTTTAACTTCGAACCGTGAAAAATGGGAAGCTGACAATTCAAAGAGACAGACAAGTTGGTTGAGCTGGTGGAATTACATTTCATCACCACAGTGCTAAGTTGTCACAACGAATAATTAAGCAAAAAGAGCCAGTGTTTTTATGTGTGTCTACTTTAAGTCTAAACATGTCAGTAATAGGAAAGCCACATATGTTAGTGTGCTAACATATGTTATTGTGCTAACATATGTGGTTAATGTGATGCATCATAGTAAAAGGATTTCAGCACTATTTTCCCCAGTGGTCGTCGCTTGGTATAATTCAATCAAATTGTGTGCTCACTGAATTATGTAATGTGGCTATTTACAGTCACCTTCAGTTCATTTTGGCTTTCCAGCCTGAAATTTTCATTGTTTTGCTTTGCTTTGGTCCTCCCTCCTTCTTCAGCCTTTTGTCTGCCGCTGTTGGTCTAACAGAAAGGCCTGTACAATACTTTCTAGCTGGGCCATAAAATCTTCAACTACTAGAGCTACAGTTGCTCAGATTTGCTAATTTAGTTGTCTACCTTCTTAATGTGCTTCCAGTGGTTTAGTGTTTAACACATTCACTCGGCGAGCGAAGGGTCACTTGTTCGTTTCCAGACGCAGACAAAAATCTCTTCAGGGGTTGTGTCGGGAAGTAAAACTGGTGGCGAATCAAACAAGGGGAGCTACCTGCTCTGTCGACCCTTTTGTCTAAGCCAGAATTCAGTTCTTGGGTTCCAGTGACCTACCATTATCTCATGGTTAGCACCAGGGTCTCTTCGGTCAGTTTTGGGGGGGTTCTCCGTGACCGCGCTGACTTGTTCGCAGAGAATTTACATTACAGTGCGCCCCAGGTGGTGAAGTTTAAGCTAACATCTCAGAAATATAACAGGAATAACTACTTGGCTGTTTGGCCCTGAGCTACAGCTACTCAAAGGTGTGCGCAATAGAGTAGTATCAACGCTTTAGACTGAAGAATATATTCTTGCATTCACCTGAGTGTCACAAACTATGATTCCATATAAATGCAAAGCAGTTTTATAAGGTGATGATGTCACATGGTATTCTTGCTTGAAAGCCACCACCCCCATGTCAAATCTAGCAGTTGCCGTCAGAGGCTTTTAACACAGTGAATTTTAATGCCATAAGTGTTATCAGGATAACAGTTTTAGCAGTAACCTCTGTGTTTCTCAGATTGTACCCCATGGTTTGATATTGAAAGTATCCCAGCAAGTAACAAATGCTGTCATCATGGAAATGGTGGTGGCCGGGTTACCAGTTTGAGAAGACGCTACATCTTAACATCAAGAATGAAGTCGCATGTGTTCTCTGCATTTGCATTTTGTGCTGTTTTCCTCCGAAGTTGCTTGTTTATGACTCTAATTAGTTGTCGTATAATGCAGCCACTATATTAATGTCTCAGCACCATCAATCATGTCTCCTGCGCTCCTCTTCTTTGGTGTCTGTGACTTTACATCATTCTGTCCTCCGGTTGCCTGCCTGGCATGTGGCGCCTTCTTTATTTGACAGCTACAGGCAGTTCCCCATGGGGAGGAGGTGTTTATGTCCTCCAGAATATTCCTCCCTGCTGTCTCCGTTTTGAGGCCATGCCAGAAGACCAACTCTGTTTTTAACTACCGGTAATAGTGGTTCTGAAAATCTTTTGCCTATTCATGAAGTTAACTAGTGTTCAGAGAGGTTGTGTAATCAGTGACTTCTGGGCTTTACAGCATACACGTCTGTACATTGAAGTCTTTAAAGATGACTCATGTGTATTTCATTGTGTATTTCGCTATCCAGAGGAGGCTTATAGACACACACCCTGTTTCCTTTTTCACACTGGTGGAACACTAAGTGGTATGCCACTGGTAAACATGCAGTGTTATATGTACATGGTAAAACCTCTGAGCAAGTTGCTGCTAAATTTGCATCCACCATGCAAAAAGTTACAAAGTGCCCAAACAGTTCATGTCTTATGGCTGATTTGGATTTCTGTGGTGAATCTTTGTAGGGGTTATGTCGTAAGCTATATAACCATTCATGCTTGTGCATGGCGTTAATTACCTTGTGGTCATATCCCACTGTTTTATATGTGATGCCAGCCACGATAGAAACAAATTAAAATCCTAGGACTTTTCTGTTTCTTTCTCTCTCTCTCTCTCTTTTTTTTTCCCTTCCCTAACGTATTTGTCCCTCATGTTTTGCCTCTTTGTAAATTCTCTCACATCCATTTCAGTGATTTTGGTTTGGCGATGTCCCTCATATGTGAGTCCTTATATCGAAGCTTGATTATTATTCCTCATACTAGGGCGGAAAATCGTATCTCATTGATCAAAGACTGTGGCGAAAAAGCAAATGGAAATGTATAGGCTCGAACAGGCCAGTCACAATAGTTCCATTTGTTCCATTTTCATTTATTTACATTTCCAGGTAGATGCACGCCAGATTACACTGTAAGGTTTCACAAGGGTTTTGTAGTTGTTGTTTGTAGTGTCACCATTGGCATATATTTACCAAACAATACTTTCTTTTTGATACTAACATGCATGTGGTACATCAATTATCAATAATATTGCCCTGCCACCTTTAGGGAGGTTTGTCAATCTTCCTTCTCCTATAAAAGAATTAAAACTTGGAATATGCTTTTATGATTTCTTACGTTGTCAAAGGAGGAAACAGTCCCTCCCCCAAGGCAATTTTTCTCTTCTTTTTTTATGGCTAGAGAGTAAACATATATGTAAACCAAATAATGTAAACAGTGTAAGGAAAGGTTAGTAAAAATGCATATTGGTGGAAAAAACTATAATAAAATACAAACATGAAGGAAATGTTTTCAGTCTTAGTCTTCCAGTTTTTTTTATGTTATGCAAAATAACAGCTTCTGTTAACTAAGGTAAGAAAGACTCCCTGCTTGAACTGTATGTTGACCAATCTTGGTTACGTGCTTATTCTGCCCCTAAAGACCCATTTTAAGTAAGTAAAGTTTATTTATATAGTCATTTGATGGCTTAAAATACCCTGCCTGTTTTTGACTTCTTAACCCTGGAAAAATCGGTCTAGTTTTGCTTGTTATTTTTTATAATTACAAAAAAATCAAATTGGAGGAACTGTAATAACTCTGCCCAGAGGCCTCTCCTCTAGCCCGACCTTCTTTCTGAACATAAGTGGGTTTTCAGTGCTCAGAGTTCACCATCAGCTGACTGTTGACCTGCCATCCAGGTGTGAGTTATTTTGTTTTTGAGTTTTTTGGCCTCTTTAAATTGTAGCTTGTGTGCTGTTTTTGTACTAACTGGTCTTTTTTTTTCAGTGGGTTGCTATACAGCTCAGAAGGCGGAGCTTAGTTAATCTATACTATAATTATTATTATTGTTTTATTTTTTTTAGTTGATAACGGGAATACCAGTTCACATGACTGTTCAAGTTACTGAAAATAAATGAACAAACGGTTCAAATAAGTGTAATATTGATAATTATATAAAGGAAATGGACATATTTTGGCAGTTCTTTTACAACATGTAACATGGTTTCTTTTTATTGTGATCAAAAGGACTTGTGTTTGGGGAATTCTCTAAATTCTTGAATGTAGGTGAATGGCCTAAAGAGGTTGCAGGTCCATATTTGGCATTGGACAGGTGAAATTGTGCCCTACTGCTGCACTTCTGTATGAAATATGGAGCAGTGTGAAGAAGCAAACCTCTTTAATTAAAGATGGTTTGTAAAATGTAGATTCCAGTCTCTACATTCCAAAATTGACCCAACCCCTCTTTTCTTAGGGTGGATGAATAATATTTCCTCTTCAACAACAACTAAACGCTAAAATCAGCTTCGTTGTTGCTGCCCCGGAAACACCGTGTTTTGTATACATCGCGCACTCACTGCTTAGCGATCTCCCCTTAATCCTCGCCGGCTGCAGTTCAGCACACACGCACTGTTAAGACGTGAGGACATTTTGGCACACCCGTGAAGTCGCCAAGTCGGTGAGCCTGCGTGGAACCTCATGGCACAGTAATGATTTCTGGCAGGTGACATTCACATTTGTAAAGGAGGACAAATAAAATCACTGCTGCACACTGACAAACAAAATAAAAGATCTCACTGGCAAAAGCCCTCCTGTTGTTGAGAGAGCTTACAGAGGCAGGTTACCAGGTTCAGCTTTGCACATTTCTTATAGTTTGCACCCTCCTGAGAGAACGGCATGCCCTGCACCAGTGCTGCTTGTACTATTTGTGTAAATGCCTCTTCTTTTAACGCGTCATTTACAGTCCATTTTGTACGTAAGCTGTACACCTGTCACATAACATAAACATCTGTTGTGTGATGCTTCTTCTTAACATTTTCATCACTAGGGAAATCTTTGCACGCATGCACTTAACATCGGTTCCCCCTCACCCCCACCCTAACCTGCAATCCGGGAATAAGCAGGTGGTTGAGTCAGGCATGTGAGCAAGACACCAGCCGGCAACTGATAGATAGGGCTCCAGTCATGTGCCGTATCAGTCAGACAGTCTGGTCTTCAGCCCAGGCAATTTAGAAGAGCCTCAGAAAGCCTCGTGTAGCCGCGGCCACAATCCCATTAGAGAACGTAAGGGAAGCCATACGAAAGCTGAGGTGGGATTAAGCGACAGGCTGACTTCTCTCACAGATTACTGCATATGAAGTCAGTTAGGTTGCGTTGTTCACCATCTGTTGCACATGCACATGCTCACAGATTTCTCACACTAATTCATGGACGTTCACTGTGTGGCCCCTTTGCCCTGACCGGCGCCCCCGCTTGTTTGTCGATCCTGGATTATGACAGAAAAAGGAAAAA